ATTGTCCATATTAAACCATATGGCAATTACAAAGCTTGTGAAAGGAGAGGCCTTAACAAGCTAAGGGACAGAGTTCCTTCAAAGGTTCCCAAAGACAATTCTAGGTAACTTAGTACCTAGAAAGCCAAGTGTAAATGGTTCATAAAACACGTGAAATCAAAGTGGCATAGCAGAAGCGTGGCCTTGAAATTTGCTATAACGCAATACTATCAAGGTTGGGGAAGCAGTTCCCAAGTGCTCAAAGGGATGACTTTGAATGAAAGTCGATAGTCAAGGACTTTCACGCTTGTGCATGAAACCATATTACGTTGGTCGGATGACTTGCTAAGTGAGATTGGCAAGTCAGGGGAACAAATCCTCTAGTTGAAGGTGCCAACTTCAAAAGGGGTGGCCCATGGGGCGAAGCATGGAGGAGTCTATGCATGATCATAGATTTGTCAAGTGAGAGGACTTGGTAGTGTAGAAGAACTAAGTTCCTAAACTGTGATTTGTAGTGTGCTTTAACTATAAGTTGGTGCACCGGCGTGGGGAGTCACACCAAGCATCTTGGATGATGCCTTCCGTAAATGCATATACGGAGGTTGGATTCGAGTCCCGACCCTCTGGTGCTTGGGTTTGAATCCCAACTCACTACGGCATGGTGATAGTTTGAAATATGAGGACATTCATTTTTTGGTGGTCATAGACTCTCAATAAGGAGACTGGCTTAGGCACACCACCAAGTAGAGGATGCCTCAAAGTTGTGATGAACGGTTAGATTGCTTAGTGTGACTTAGCAATCTAACTTGAACACTTTGGTGCGAGTGGCAACAAGGACGTGGTGAATGAGATGGGGACACCCAGTCTCAGTTGCTATGGACCCTTAGTTGGAAGGGCTGGCTTGGGTGCACTGCCAAGTGTGGGGGATGCCCCCGGGGTTATGGTGAACAACTTAAAAGTCTGGAGGACTTAATACCTATTGGCAAACCTGTTAAGGTGCCAAGGTTAGATCACTAGATGATCTTATGGTTAAAACAAAGACAAAGTTCTTGTGAGGTTAAAGGATAAAGTTCTTAGTTCAAAGTGTTGATTTGAACTACTGATGATGGTGTGGCTTGGTCAAGGTGACCAAGTGGGAAGAACACCTAAGGGAAATGATCTTTGACAATGTGATGGTATAGTGAGTCTAAGGAAACTAGTCTCTATAAGAGACCCACAGGAGGGTCACAAAGTTGGGCCAAGGATAAAGCCCACAATAGAAAATGCTAAAAAGACGTACTAGAGGTGAACACCCTCTAGACTTGGCAAAGCAAAGTCTTTGCTATGGAACCGAAAAGATACCTTGAGAATGGAGGTAGCGATCCGATGTTGCTAGGTGCAACAATCAAGGATAGGAGCAAAAGACTAGTGGCTAAGAAAAAAGCCATGGGAATCATGGGAAAGAATCCAAAAAGCAAAGTTAGGCCAAAAACACTAATGTGTTGGGTGTTAACGAATTGTGGGAAAGGCAATGTGTTTCCAAGGATGGATTCCCAATTGCTCCGATTTGGCAAAAGTGGAAGCTCCAAAGGAGGGAGCGGTAAAGTAACCAAATAATAGGGCCATGGATAGCCCTAACACAAATTATGATAACTGAAACTTAGTGCTTAAGGTGGCACAAAATAGAAGAGAGGATGATGGTTCCCTCAAGTAGAGAACTTCCTAGGATGGGGAAGTGGAGTTGCACAATATATGCAATGCAAGGTGTCGGAGACACCTAGAAAATTGACTTCAAGAAGTCAAAAGTAAAAGTTCTAAAGTGCAAAGGTTATATCGATGGAAACTGAGACTACTCAAGAAGGAGTAGTGGGATTGAGATAGAGATAGTGTCTTTAACAGGTTTAGTGAAAACTAAACCAATAAAAGGAAAGAACCACCACAAGTGGTCCAATCAGTCTCTAAGTTGGAGAGACTATCCTCCTTAGAGGATGGGCAAGGCATAGTGAGCCTTCAATATCAAACCATTGACGAATATTAGCGAGGTGCCAAGAATGGAAAGGGTAATATATATTGGTATTACCTTATAAAATAATTTATCGTTCAATGAAGACATCAAACTTTGTCTATAGGTGGTGGAGTTGTGAGACACAAAATCCCTAGGCCTTAAAGTGGAGCCGAAAGGGTGCTATGTGGTAGTGGCCGAAATGAAAGCCAAACGAACGTAACACGTTTGGACTAAAAGCTCCGACTTGAGAGGTCGAGAGTGGGAGTGGAACTCCCAACGAAGTGCTCGAGGAACAAGCACAAAGAAAGCAATAAGTGAGTCTCTAGAAAAGGGACCCAAGATAGAGTCCAAGATGGACTCGAGATAGAGTCCGAGATGAACCCGAGATGGACCCGAGATGGAGTCCAAGATGGAGTCCGAGATGGAGTTTGAGATGGAGTCCGAGATGGACCCGAGATGGAGTCTGAGATGGACCTGAGATGGAGTCCGAGATGGACCTGAGATGGAGTCTGAGATGGACCCGAGATGGAGTCCGAGATGGAGTCCGAGATGAAACCGAGACCGAGTCCGAGTTCGCAACCAGGACCGAGACCGAGTCCGAGTCCAAGTTCGAATAGTAATACAGACTGTTGGGTGAAAGCCCAAAGTGATTGTCCCCTGGGGGGGGGGGGGGGGGGGCGGCTGCAGAGGGTTCCAAAAGTATAGTAGGGAGAGTGTGGGGGTTGGAGCCTAGTGGAGCTAGTTTGGCCAGGAAAGGCCAGTTTGGCCCAGGAAGGTTATACCCAGGTGTTGGGTGATGAGCTGACCACTGGGAAGTCCAAGACTAGAATGAATACGGACTGACAAGCGAGGTAGCTTGGTAAAGTGTTCAAGAGTCTGCTTTAGTTCCCCCGGGAGATCGAATGGTCAATGCTCCTAATCCAAGTGTGGGTGGCATTATTTACTTGGATACCTAGCGTGGCTCAATGGAACCTCGCTCTAAGCCCATGGCTAGAGCACCCAAATGTGGTACCTATGAGGCTCACGTAGGGCCATGGTGTTCCAAAATGTTGTCCCAAAAACCCAGAATGTGGAAAGGAAGAGGAGTAGTCCTCTGGTGTAGTGACCAAGGATACAGTCATGTGGTGAGAAAGTCCTAGAGGACCATAGGACTTAGTGGTTGGGCTTATGGGCCTCGATCCAGTGGCAGTGTTGGTGAATATGGCCATGGGCAGAAAGGGACTTGGTGGGGACTGGAAAAAGGATATTGGGGAAGGCTATTCCCCACGTCTGCGGGCATCCTAAGGATGCTAAGGAGTGGATCTGAGATGATCACTCATGAACAGATGGCTCAGTCTTTGAGAGACGGAATTATGATGTAAGTGGTGTCAGACCACCGGTATGACCAAGGTGAATGGGCAAGGCCTTAGCGTAATGGACTGATATGTCGGTGGTACCTTAGGGTGTCAGTCATGGGATCGGACATGTGGAGCACTTGGACCAAGTGCAATGGTTGAGTGGCATGGATGCCATTCTTGGGGCTAGCAAGTCCCTAAGTCCAAAATAAGACTTATAGAGATTATGAGTGAGACTCCTCTGTGTGGTTAAATGACTTAAGTAGAATGGAAAATTTAGTCACTTACAAATGCTTGAGAACGATTTAATCACCATATCTAACATCCTAAATGCAAAATCTATTATCTCACACCAGATAATAGAGTTGTATTAGCAATTCCATATTGTAATTAAGTATGAAAAATTCAATAGGTATAATAAAGGTCTCAAAATTAGTGGTACTAAAATTTTTAATTACATTACAAAATTTATTTGATAAGATAGTTAACTTGTTAAAATTATCCAAAATGAAGAAAATTAAATAAAATTTATATTAATAAAATTTAAATTAATTACCTTAAATACTTTTAACTACTCTTTGAATTTAAATAATTTATATAGTTCTTTTAGCACTATACTTACCCAATTTGTATTGGAAAAAGTAAAATCACTAATTAAAGTTTGATTTGTTATTGTTTTAGCTTTTATATTGGGTTTTAAATTTAATGAAATCATATTTAATTAAAATTTACTCTGGTGTTTATATTGAATCATTAATTTCCTTGAATTAGAACTTACTTTTATTATTTTTAATGGTTTCATATTTTTAAGGAAATTGAATAAACATTTTAACAATCATAGTTGAGTAAGCAAATATTTTTACTTTACATTTAAACATCTCAACTCTAATAATTGGATATACATTTTATAAAATTTAAAATTTAAGCATTTTTCTTTTCCTTTTAAAATTGAGACTTAAATAATTATTTTAAGTACTTCAGTGATTTTTATACTAAAAGAGATTAAAACTGAAAACAGCTCTATTATTATTAAAGACGAAATATTAAATTGTTCATATGAATTTATGATGTATTTTTGAGTTTTTATCGTTCCATTATTTAATATTTGTTTTATGATTGATGTACTACACAGAGAGAGGTAATAAAGTAAGAACAAGTATTGCCTCTACATATCTGGAGAAATTATAAGCTGTTTAAAAGGGGAAGTTTGATTTTCCACTCTCCATTTATGTGGACAATATTTTGGCAGCTAAACTTTAAAATTATGTACAGTATATATGCTATGCATGATGACTATTTGATACTTTTGAAATGCAGGCTTTTTTTAATTGGTTTTACTCACATGTAGCTGTGAGGGTAGTCCACCATACCATCCATCTGGGCTTGCAATGAAACACATTTTTTCTCAGTTGCAAGCTACTGGAGAGTTGCATGGCATTTGGTCTTTGCCCCAGCAGCATGAAAGTTACTACCAAAACCCAAGGATTGCAACACATTGTTTCTTCATGACATTTGATGATTTGCTTGATCAAATAAAGTATTACGCGCATATACCGAGAATATTCAATGGCTTGAGGAGAAAATTTAATAAAAATCCGTATATACATATTGGGTTTGCTCTGCAAAACCCTAAAGAAAAAGTTGTTTGGGGAAGGTTACATGATCCTTTGCTAAGAACTGGTCTAGACGAAGAAAAGAATGTGCGTTGCCTTTGAGTTGTCAGCAAAAGTCAGTGTAGTAAAACAAATCAAATTCGAGCAATTCACTCCCACTCTATCGTTGCGGGGGGCTTCGAAGTCAAGTCATAAAAGACCCTGTTCACGTCCACCACCGTATTACAGATTTCTCTCGTCACCTGGTCGAGAAACTCCCTTTTGAATGTATACCTAGCACAAACAGTGTAAGCAAAGAAAAAGGAAAAGTTAAACGAGAGAACCTCTCGGCAGTCATGCCATCTTCGCTGGTGACCGCACGAAGAACAACGCTGCCGGAGTGAGTCCTTTTGTCTCCTTGGACTCCCACAGTCTTGACGGGGAGAATGCCAGCGAAAGCTTGCCACATCTCGTCGTAGAGACCAGCCTCTTTGATCGAAGCTGTGAAAACCTCGTCCACCTACAAACAAGAACCAGTGGAAGTGATAGAACACAAAAAGCACAGGGTGTGTGCTTACCAATCTCAAAGTTTCAAGGTTTTCCTCAGTAACGTCGCCACCGATCACACGAACAGCCAAACCGGGACCAGGAAATGGATGCCTTTTGAGAAATCCTTCGGGAATGCCAAGAAGTTTTCCGAGCTTTCTTACCTGGAGAAGAAAAGAAGCAATGCATGGAAGAAAGATCTGATTCAACGTACTACACTCACCTCGTCCTTGAAAAGCCACTTCAAAGGTTCCAAGAGCAAAAGTTTCATCGATGGTGGAAGTCCCCCAACGTTGTGGTGGCTTTTGATAGTGTGAGAGTGTCCCACGACTCCAGGAGGAGGACACGACTCGATCACGTCGGGATAGAGCGTCCCTTGCACCAGGTACTTGGGCTTCTTGCCAAGCTCTTGTTCGAGCTTTCTGGAGAACTCATCAAAGACGGCAATGAACTCCGCGCCGATTATCTTCCGCTTGCGCTCTGGATCCACAACTCCCTCGAGCTTCGCCAGGAACTGGGAGCCCGCATCCACGCAGACAACCGGGAGGTGCAAGTCACGCTTGAAAGTTTCCATGACGCGCTCTCGCTCCTTGTACCTGGAAAGAAGATGGATCAAATCAAAGCTACTTCGAGACGAAAGAGAGAACAAGCTCAAGAAATCGGAGAAGCCAAAAAAAAAAAAGAACCTACCTCAAGAGTCCATTATCAACGAAGACGCAGTGTAGACGATCGCCCATAACTTTGTGAACGATGGTTGCCGCAACGGTGGAATCGACTCCTCCAGACAGCGCACAAATGGCATGATCGTCAGGTCCGACTGTAGTTGCGATCAGATCAATCTGCTCTTGCAAAACGTCTTGCACCTTCCAATCGTCTGTAAGGCCGCCAACTTCGAACAACAAGCGCTTTAGTGTGTCAATGCCTTTAGGCGAATGACTAACCTGACAAGATCAAAAGTTTAGGGGGGAGAGAGAGAGAGAGAGAGAGAGAGAGAGAGAGAGAGAAAGAAGAAGAAGATCAATCACAGCAAAAAAATCCTTGAAAGTTATTGTAAAAAACCAAGAGCAAGAAAGAGAGAACAAATGAAATGCAAACTTTCAAATGAATTCAAACAACACACCCTTTCAAAGAAAATCAACCACATCAAAGTAGAACACACAAAGCATTGCACTAGACCAAAAGTTTTCTAAAGAACAAATCAAATGCAAGCTTTCAAATTCAAACAAACACAAAAAACAATCAGTGAAGATCGAAGAAGATCACGCAAGGCATTGCACAAGGAAAGAATCACGAGTACCTCTGGATGATATTGCAATGCATAGATTCCCAAGTCTGGATTCTCGATCGCCGCAATGCTGCCTTGAACACTCCTCGCCACAACGACAAATCCGCGCGGCATTTCCACAACTTCGTCCCCATGGCTCATCCACACAGACTGCGTAGAATCGTCGTCGCCATACAACACCGATCCCGCCACTGGCACGACATCCATGCTCCCATACTCGCGATTGGCGGCCGGCTCGACACTGCCGCCCATCTGCGCAACGATGAGCTGCAGCCCATAGCAAATGCCCACCACTGGGACGCCGCGATCGCGGACGTAATCGAAGAATCCGGGAGGGACGCTGGGGGCGCCGGGCTCGTAGACGGAATGGGGGCCGCCGGAGAGGAGGATGAGCGACGGCGCGAGCTTGGCGACGGCGTCGAGCGATGCCTCGGCGGCGGAGAGGCAGAAGGAGCAGACGCCGAGCTGCCGGATGCGGCGCGTGATGAGATGCGTGTACTGGGAGCCAAAATCCAGCACCAGCGCTACGCTGTGCCGCGACGCCTCCTCCTCCATCGCGAGAGAGAAAGAAAGCTTTTAGGGCTTTAGAGAATCAGAGAATATGTCAAAATACGAAATACGAAGGACAAATGATGCCATCGAATATGCCGAATGAGAAGGTCATGGATGCGGAGAGCTGCTAAATCCCGTCCTGGATCTAGAGATTCGTGGAGCGCTCACTGTGTCTTTGTGGTTTTTCTCGATTCTGTCCATCCTGAATCAAGAATGCAGAACTTTTCACTCTCACCTATGGTCCAGCAGACTTCAAAGACATGGAGGAAGTGATGTAAGCCCTGAGCATTTCTCTTTAATTTCATCCCTTCTTAGCATTCATAAGAATTTCTGTGTGTTTCTTTCTCTCTATCAGGGGATATAACATTGGAATTTGCTTGATCGACAACTTCCAAAGTCAGAGTTTCACAGACCACAGATGTCAGTTCATGATGTTGCTCTTGAAACTTTGATCGCTGAACTCTAATGTTTTTTTTTTTGTGCACAGATCAGATCTAGGATGTTCTTGGGAGTGATTGCCACTGTCTCTAACTGAAATGCCAATTTCACTGAGTGCAGCTTGGTTCTCGATGACAACCTCATGGATTTTGTGGAGCTCCCAGAGACTTGCCAGCTGCAACATCTTGTATGGGGAATGATAAACATAAACTACGTTTTAAATACCTTTCCAGCCTCACATTAATTCTCTTCTTTGTTCATTTTAGTTATCCATGAGAGCCAATGTTTTAAACACCTTTCCAGCCTCACATTAATCCTTTTCTTTGTTCGTTTTAGTTATTTATGAGAACTGAAGTAAAATGGGTGTGGGATATATGCATGTCGTGGATGATTATCTATACAAGGATGACTGTACAATTTTGAATATGATGAAGTAGTATACTATTTGTATTACTATATTGTTGCTAAATCAATTTATATTGCAATTAAATCAACTGTTTCTATATATTACAAGTATGGGCGCTCAAGATATAAGAATAGATATATTTAGACCCCTGCTTATATAGAAGAATGAATGGATTAGATTCAATCCCAAATAAACAGTCCATATATTATAGTAGTATAATTAGTGTATTATCTAACCAAAGTAATACATGTACATACAGATATATATTTACAAACATTATATATCTCCCCCTCCGAAAGATAAAAAGGTGATGACAATAAGTTAGGTGGAATATTTGAAGCTTTTATTGTGTGATTATAAACTATTACAAGAATCTAAATCTCCAATAAAACCACCAACAAAATTGTTAACAACCATGACTGAAACAAAATTCAAAGCTATAGCATAAACAATGAATCAATTATAATTTTGTATACAACTGCCAAATGTTCAAATCAACCACAAAGTTATAATTTTGAACCAAAATAAGACTTTAAGAGCCACTATATTCCATAAGGCACCTTTGAAACAAATAATATATCCCATTTCTAAGTCTATTTGTCAACGATCCTCCAAGACCAACATTAACTTGAACTCATGACTATAAGTAAAACTTGCTTTTGCATCTTCGCTTCAGTTAACATTTGAGACCTATGTTAACTTAAACTCACAATTGTCATCCTTGTCCAACATTATATATGGGAGGTTAAACTCCTTTCATTCATTTTTCACATCCTCGTAATCCCTTCTTTAGAAGAAAGAAAGTTCTAAAGCACTGCTCTATTTGGACTCATTGCATTTGTCCTCATTTTACCATTTATATTTAACCTTACTCTAGTATTGCATCCATTTAACTTCATTACGTTGGGGTTAAATGTTCTATTCAAACTTGTTATGTTTATCCTCACTCCACAATTTATATCATTCATTTTTTACTCCACTATTGTATTCATTCATCCTCACTTTATTGTTAGGGTTGGACTTCTTTCCATCCCCTCTAACCCCTCCTCCAAAAAAAACAAATATATATTTGAAGTGTCGCAAGAAAAAGGGAAGAAGAAACATTATAAAAGAAGAAAAAGTGGATAAAAAAGCATAAAAAAAGGAATTTTCAACAATTGTTAAAATAGAAGGAAAGAAAGAAATATGTTCAAAACTTGGAGAACAAAAAATATATTGTGATAAAATACTTTAGTTAACATAAGATAAACAAAGGATTCACACCACTCAATCTCTTCAACCTTCTCAAGACACAATTTAACACTTACGACAAAACAATCAATAGAAAAGTCCACACTTTTAAAGGAACATATAAAACCTTTCAAATAACAATAATAAAACAAAGGTTTTCAATAATACTTACAACTAAGGAGCACTCAATCTAAAACTTTGGCCAAAGTGACTCGATTATTGGAATAGGGGAATACTCAATATTAAAATTGATTAAAAGCCCTGCCAATGAAATAAAATTAAGATTTTTAGCATATACTTAACATCCAAATTAGTATGAGAATGATAGAAAACACTTAACTCAACACCAGACTAAGAATGAGGATCATAAGAATCAGAAATGATTAGGAGAAAAAATAATTGCAAAATAATTGCAAAAGTGTTGGTTCCCCTTGGCTTAGTAGGGGTTGTTAGTCAATAAGAACATTGACATTTCTGAAGGGGGAGGGGGGGGGGGAAGGGGGGAAATGGAAGTGTTAGTGTTAATAGTCCATGAGGACATTGATATTTTTTAAGGGGGGGGGGGGGGGGGGGCAGGGTGAGAGTGCAGAAGTGGAGGTGTGCGTATGTGATCATAGGAACTTTGGGGGATAAATGGGGATAAAATAGCCACACTCTTTCCTTATTGTCATGACAGCAGGAGGTTGGTACTACTGATTCCCTTTATTAGCCTCTTTTGTCCAAGTGTTAGTAAATTAGACCTAGCATCTATACTTGGCCGGATGAGCATAAGGATGGAATTCTTAAAGTGTCTATTTGGCTCAGCATTTTAGTTCTCTTTTACTTTGTCTTGCACTAGCTTGGCAAGAACTCTCGCATATTGAGACTAGTCCTTCAATATCGCTAGATGATAGCTTACCGTGTTTGCCAAACACCTTCGCTATCACACCCTGTGTGTTAGCCTCATTTCAGTCCCAAATGCTAAATATAGAAAGTGTCTAGATTCGCTCATTTGGCATGTCTACGGAATGTAGAGGTTGGCCTGAACACAATGTTGTTCGTCCCGTATCCAAATTCGCAATCTAAGATCATTCCATATTTAGTAAGTTTTGAGCTTGTCTTAGAGACTAACTCTTGGTACTAAAGGTGGCTTGGGGTGAAAGCCCAAAGCATATGTTCCTCAGGGGGGGGGGGGTGGGGTGGGGTTCCAAATGTATAATAGGGATAATGGTTGGAATGTATATTTGACCACCTAAGACATTAGTTTGGCTCCCGTTGGGCTGTGTTGCTTTTTGTTCTGCGTCTGGGTTAGGTTTAAGCCCAAGCTCCATGCTACTCTAGTCAGTGGGGTACCCTCCTCTTCGCGTTAGGCCACCGGTATGCGAAAATTGTGCCAGACTCCGTCTGACACCATTTTGCGTGCAAGTGCTGGATACGGGGAGCTGGTGCTCATAGGATTGTACTGGACCCTCGTTTCGTAGCGCAACGGGCTTGGAATTCGGCTCTAAATTCAAGTGTGCTACATCAAGTTCTTTGTCATAATTTGGAATTTTTTTGAGCTAGTAAACATTGTCTTCTCATAAACTCAATCTTCAAACATTCTCCAAAAATTGGATTGCATTATTCATATCTCACTAATCAATATCACAATCACACCCCATATTAATAGGAGATAGCAAAACACCGAAAATAACACAAGTTATATAATCACATCTTATAAAAGTTGGAAATAACAATGGGTGCAATACTATTATGATCACACCCCATAACACCAAAAGCTCAGTCTAATGAAGTAGTATTAATAGCCTTAAATGACATACTCTTTGATTGCTAATAGCATGGCATAGTAGAAGAAAAGAATGCAACAAAGCTCAGAAGAAATAGCATATCTAAGCACAATGATAGCTAAAATTCTAGATCTTGCAAAAAGCTAATATAGATCTCGATTTCAAAAAGAATGAAAAATAAATAAAAAAGACATGATCCCAAACACTAAAGCAATAAAACCAAAAAACTTTGTCTTTCAGGGATAAATTGTAATACCCCTCACTTCCATCAATGTGTGTGTTCAAGATATTGCTTGTATACAAAAATAGATGGACTATATTCAATCATAAATGGGAAATTCATATGCTATAGTATTATAATTGATGTATTACCTAGTCAAGGTAATACATGTACATACACATATACATTTCTAAACTTTACACAAGTAAATAAATGTTCATGACAGCATAAAAAGTTTTGAAAAAAAAGAGAAAAAATAACACATAGTAATTAATGACCAAATAATCATTACGTGTTAAAATAGCATAGACAAGTTATATATATATCAACTTATTGATAAGCTTTATAGGATGTTAAGTATAAAATATTATGTTTTCCTTATCATTTTTTGAATCTAAATAATAAAACAAACATGTTCAAATTTTCAATTAAATATATGTTAAAACTTAGATCTAAAAATATAGTGGAGGATCCAGCAAATTTGATGAAAAAAATAAATATGATCATATACGATGGACTTAAATAATTTTATAAATAAAATTTCAAATTAATTATTTCATTATTATTAAACATATATTTTTTAGTATATCAAAAAATATTATTTATTTTAGGCTTTAAATAAATAAATTTTATAATATAGTTATTTCAATAAATTTAACTACTTTAGAATTAAATGTTATATTCCTAGAGATACTCAGTGAAAAAAGAAAGAGGGAAGTAAATAATTTAAATATAATAAATAGGTTAAATTTAAATAAAATGTGATTAAAATATTTTAATTATTTAGACTACCAAATTCAAAAACATATTGTTGAAAGAAATTTTAAAGTAAAGTAAAAGTGTCTTAAACTTTAAATTTAACTTTTATTTCAAAAGATTTAAAATATTGTAGTACTGCCGCTTAATATTAATTTTGTTAAAATTCAAATGTTAGCATAAATCA